GCCCCTTGGAATCTGGAAGGAGAGGGGCTGCTCCTTCTGAGGGCAGGACAAGTCCCCAGCAGTCTTTACATGACCTGTATCTGTGCAGTTTGATGGACTCTTCTATAATTAACCATTGTCAAGAACGCTTCTGAAAATGCCGCCTGGCATTTCAAATAGGAACATCAGATTAAGGAGAAGTAATGAGGTGCAAGGAGAAAATCCTTCCCCGGGGAACAAATCAGACCTGATACCATCAGGAAGGGTAATGAGAAATGCACTGCAGAACCGAGATGCAGGGCAGCTGCCTGGAGGAAGCGAGAGCGCCTGTTCCTATTTGCACCCCTGAAAGGATGCCCACGTTCTGCTCTGCTGGGCGAGCTGGGCACACGCAGCTCCCGCACCTGCCTGGCGCCTGCAGCCTCGCCACACGTTTCCCGGGTCCTGGGGCAAGTCATTTCACTTCTCAGTGCTGTAAGGCACGTCTGCGTGGCCGTGTGCGAGTCAGTGCAAGCAGCCCGTGCCTCCACACCCACATGGCAGGTTCTGAACCTGTCACTGTACACTGCCAAATAACATGGGGCGCAGGAGCACAGACTAGTCCTGTCCATACTGCTCGGAACTTGGCCTGTCTCTTCTGTTTTGGTCTCACGTGATGCCTCTGTGGCCCTAAGGCAATACTGGTTTTTTTTTAATCTTTTCCCCAGTTTGTGTTGTCTTTAATAAGAGGAGGCCTTATGGCAGACCATCACAGCAGGGTTTTTGTAGCATCGGTCTGAGGATTTGTGTTGCATATTCTGGCATGTGGCAGAAGAGCCTGCATCTGTGTCTGGAGAAGCAAGTCCAGTTTTGTTGGTGCAGGAGGGCTGCACAGGGTGGAAGAATCCAGACCTGTGCTCTTCTGCGTTTACTGCCCGTGGCAGTACTGTCCCCTGGAGCAGACATGGGTGTCACCTGGACCGACAGTGCCAGGCAGTGTGCTGACAATTCAACAGTATTGCCCACCCGTGATCCTGTAAATCAGGTTGTTTTCTGGCTCTGCTGTATTTAGCAGTATAAATGAAACCTGTGTGGCTGCATCAGCATGGCTGTATGCCCACACTGATAGGTAAGTCAGGGTATATTATTTCACACATGGTGCTACACAGTTGAAGGAGCTATGGCCACAAGAGCTCCTGTCATAGATACAGTGAGTATTAAGTGACTGTTGTCGTAATTGTCAACCTTACTGGGATACCCAGTAGCTTAATTGACGCATTTAAGAAGCACTGACCCCCTCTACATAGAAGCTGGAGCAATAGATGGTTGCTTGACACTGTGTTTTCAGCCATTAGCAATTTGCAGACCACAAGCAAGTGTTCCAGGAGAAGCACAGATTACCTGTAACAAAACTCTCTTGACTGTGGGTGTGCTTTCCTGGGCTCCGGGCATATAGTCACAGGACCCTCTGGGATCCAGGAACCACCAGTTAACAACTATGGGCACGTGGGGGACAGCGGACATTACAACGAGAGGGACAGAAGCAGGTGGCCGATGTGAGACCTCTCTCACAGTGTTTTACGAGGCACTAAAAACTGATGTGGTGTTTGATGGCCAAATACTGCTCTTCAATCTCAGGGACAAAGATGCCATTCCACCCAGTGTTCTGTGGGAGCAAGGGGAGTAGGATGTGAGAACAGAGCAAGCCTGAGTGGTAACCAGGGTTCCTGCAGGGCTGGAAGAGCCTGGGAGCACAAGGGCCCCGTGCCAAGAGGGTTAAGATGTTCTTACCCTCACCTGCCATCCTGTTGATGTACTCTCATTGCTGATAGTAATCTTATGCGTCTGCAATCTTGGTCTCATCTGTGTCTGCAATCTTGGTCTCATCTGTGTGTCACCTCTCATCCTGTGACAGCTCTTCCCCCGCATTGCCACAGGCACCACAAGAGGTTTTGTTGCTCCCCAAGTTATGTGGTGGGGAAGCGTTTTCTCCGTGCAGCTCTCTGCCATTTATTTTAGATCCTGGGGTAGGATTTGGGGCTAATACTGCTTGAACGGTCCTCAGGCTCCTTGCAGGGTAGCTGTGTCATTTTTCTACCCAAGGTCTTGCTAGGCATTTTACTGAAATCTTGTGCAGGGCGAGTGGCACGGCTCTCAGACAGCGTGTTGCGACTCCGAGCAGAGGCAGTCGATATCACAGTGCTCCAGCAGAAGAGAAACACGGGGCTATTACAATATTTACAGTGTAATTTTTCATATTGAGATTTCCACAAGCTTGTTGGAGTTATTTGGCATTAAAAAATCCATTATTATAGAGGGGCTGACTCATTAAAACAGTCGCTGTTTCTCCAGAGAGCCCAGAAGAAAACATGGTGCTGTAATACATCTAAATTCACTCGAGTGTGCCTGGTGCTATCAGTTAAACTACACAGAAAATATCTTTCCTCCCTGCGCTGTTCCTGCCAATTCCTTCACTCCTTTGTGCTTCCCCTGACTTCTCTTTTGCCTGTCTGTAATAAAAATGTAAGGAGAAATGGCACCTTTTTACTTGGCAGATTTGCCCCTTGTGTGCATTCTTACCTGCCAGCAGTAGTGACTGCAAATATTCCCCGGTTTTTACCAGGAGAGTCACATGGAGCAAAAACAGCAAAAAGAGTAAGGCACAGGGTGTTTCTTTCCCTGCATCGTTAGCATTTGGCACGTTTTGTTTTCTGGGCTACCTGAATATCTACACAAAGTTGATGTGAGGTAAATTGTGGAGAGGATAAGTAGTGAGCACAGGAGTATCTCAGGCAGGATTTGACTTGCAGAATCTGTTACTTACCATAGTAACAAGGAGATGATCAGCTGGTTTCTAGGCCCTAGGCCATAGGCCTGACAATTGGCAAATAGGTATTTTTACTTGCAAACTAAGGAGATATGATATGGTATGTCCAACATGATGTACATGGTGATAGCATAAAAATGGCATCTCTTCTCGGGTGAGACCATACTTCTGTCCTCATGCTTCTTTTCTTTGTTTGCCATTTGGCATTTGTCTGTCCTATGAGTCAAAAGCTGACTGCAGCGTGATGAAACACCAAGACTCCTTTTTATTTCAACCAGTAATATCCTGTGGTCTGTCCTTTGGCTAATTCCCTCCACTTACTCCCTTGACCTCTTTAAAAAAGCTTCTTAACTGTATGATGCCGGATTTGTAAGATTGATCTTCTCTAGGCGTTTCACACTGTGTTGCCTTGCATATTTTATATCAATGTTCTAATTAGGTCCTCAGGTATTGATGGATGAGTGTTTATGTCAGTGACTCTTCTCTGAACAAGGAACAGTGAAAGGGAATCCCCAGGAGACTGGGAAGTGTGTGCAAGTGAGTTGGTCTTGTGTGAACTTTGAACGAGTTCTTCCAGGCTGAGTTCAGAGTTGATAGGTGATCTCAGATGGGATTCCCTGGAAACCAAAAAGCTCTGCTTACCTCTGGCTCTTCGACTACATGTGCTCACACATCTCCTTGAATGCCAAGCATTATTCCTCAGCTAGATGTAGAGAGAACAGCTGAATCCAAATCAGCAGGAGAGAGTAGGTTTGGACATGGGAAAAGCAGAAAAATGCCTGCCACATCCTAGCCCTGGGGAAGGGGCAGAAGCTAGTTACAGAAAAGCTGCTCAAGGATAAGTACTGTTCCTGCAAGAGGGCAGAAGCAGTGGGCTGAGACACGGTATTTGCTTTCTTTCCAGACTCGTGTCAGCTGTGGTTTAGTCTGGGCTGGCTTTCGATGGCCATTCCTGCCCTCCTCTCCTTAAGGGTCTGTCTGCTGCAGCAGCCAGTAGGCTTTCTAGAAGGACAGACCTTCTTTGCATTGTGAAACTCGTGAGTGGGATGTTTCTGGGTTCAGCGGTCAGCACCGGGCCCGCCAGGCTCATTTGTTTAGAGGATGTCCTTGCAAGACTTCTCACACTAAATGAACAAGCCTTGCATAAGTAATGGGAATGTGCACAGCGGCTGCCTCCGTGCCTGGCGGGCACTTGGCGTGGCAGCCCGTTTCTTTTGCCTACCTGGCAGCAATATGAATCAACCCCTGAAACAAGTGGGCAGCCGAGTGTAAACAGTAGCTGCCTACCTGGCATGGTGCCGATCCACATCCGTTTGCAAAATACGAACAAAGCAAGAAAAAAGGGCTTAGCTGATCTTGCCTTTTTATCAGGAGCTGGTTGGTGGGGTCTTTTGTCACGGTTTCACCGGCCTGTTGGGTTTGTTTTGTCCAGATGATTGGCAGCTTCTGCAGCTTGTTTCAGTTTTTTAACTGATTTTGTGTTCCAATTGAGTATAATCTCAGAGTAGTCTCAGGGAGTCCATACGTCCCTCCAGAAGGAGGAATATTCAGGGCAGGCAAGCAGAGTGCCTGTGTGCTGCTGGAGCGACAGTGAAAACTGCTGGAGGCTCAGGAAGGAAGTCCTTTGGGAGAAAGGGAACCCGACATCATGAAGAGACAAGCCTTCAAATCTTGATATAAAATGGCAAATACCCACTTTCAGAATATGTGGTATTCAAGGCTTTTTGGTTTTTGGAGGTTGAGTGCAGGTTAATGACATCTCACAGTTGTGCTGAGAAAATGGTCACTCTCTCTTAGGCATTCTTTTTTCCTTTTCTACTTTTATGGCTGATGTAGAAGTTCATTTGATTTTCTGATTCTTCCTGCATTTAATTTCCCTGAGTTCAGTTTCTGCCTGGATTTAGAGTCATAATCATTCGTATTTGGAAGTGTGGGATTAAAATGATAAAATAAATTTATTATAGTGTAGTTTTTTTATCCTTCTAGCTTTTCAATGTCTAATTATTTTGTGGCTGATCTAGTATGCAATTGATAAGATGAAAATGTAAATTTACAGGTTTAGTGTTCAAAGTATTTTTCATGTGATCAAAGAGAGGGAAGCATTTAACAAAACACAAAGCTTGCATTTTTGCAAATGTCTGAAGTTATGTGGATGTAGGCAAGCCATCAGGAAATCCACAGTGCATCCATTGATGTGTATTTCATTTTTCCACAGGAGGTCTTGACCTTATCTTCATGCCAGGCCTTGGATTTGACAAAAAAGGCAACAGATTGGGAAGAGGGAAAGGATATTACGATACCTATCTCGAAAAATGTATGAAGCATCCCAGTGGAAAGCCTTACACAATTGCCTTGGCTTTTAGGGAACAGATTTGTGAATCAGTACCCGTGGCAGAAAATGATGTCCAAGTAGATGAAGTCCTTTATGAAGACTGCTGAAAGTATATTGATACCAACCTACCTTCAAGGTGACCAACCAAAGACATCCGTCAATCATGACTTATAATAGTCATACATGACTTTGGGAGCAATGAAATACACTATTTGTGTTTGAAGAAATAAAAACTCCAAGTGTAACTGTGGTAATCACAGTGAGGATTGAATTGATTTGCTTCTAATTAGCAAATATCTAATGTGAATTCTTATTCAAGAATCAGTAGAAACAAGAATATGTGACTGGTTATTACAGTAAGAGCCATTTCTTCTCATGATACTTTTGAGGAACAAAACTTGATACTTAACAGTTCTATTATGCCAGTTTAAAAGTAAACTGTCTACTAATGACAATTCTTGATCCATTCTGGAATTAGATACTTATTACGATAAAAGTTCTTAGTAGTTAAATATTATGTGCATCCATGAGCAAAGGAGGAGGCTGCCAGATAAGGCCTACAGTAAGCTGGGCAAAAAATAGTGACTGGAAAGAAGCCTTAACTGGTTTTAGTGTATACAATAGTTTTGACTGTTTACTTGAATCTTTGTCTTAGAATAAAGGGAGCATCTGTTAATAAAAAAGGTTTATGTCCATAGCTTTGGTACACAGTCCTTTCCTTTATCTGAATACAAGATTGTAGTCTAAAATATTGCCGGTGAGTTCTCCATCTGGGGAAAAACAGCATTTCTTTTGGTAAAATAGCATTCAAAATTACTGTAAGTTCTATAATTTTGTACATTCATAACCCCAAAATATTGTGTGAAATATGGTTACTATGTTAAAGGATAAAGGGATGCTAAGAATTGCAGAGAGCAGGCTTTATGGTTGAGTAATTTTTTGGGTGGATGGTTGGTTGTTCTCCAGACCATTCTGGAAATCAGGAAGAGGCTAGTGAGTTTTCCTCTGAAAAAGCTCACTGTCCAGAGACGGTGAATTTTCCTCTGCACACTGTCCTCATAGTAATAGGACACAATATTTCCAATCAGGATCAATCAAACTGTGAAAATGCTCAATCAAACTGGCAAAGCTTTCTATTCCTTCTGTAATGCAACTTCACTTTTTCTAGATGTTTAACTTCTCCCTCAATCAATAAATCAGTGCATTTATTTTCACCAAACTACTCTGTGTCATCATTAAAAAATCCATGAATTCTCAAGGACCAGCTGTGAAGCAGAATGGCTGTAAGACCTCCTCAGCAATAACTGTTTTTGTGAACAAAATGCCTGCAGTACTTATGAACCTTTTAATCTCAGAAAGCTTGTATTCAGTTTTATTTCCATGTTGCTAATATAGTAACTAATTAAACCCTTGTGCTCTGGGGTGAACATAAGCTTAGCAGCTCAGGTCTCTCTCTGTCTTGTGCTCCCTGGTGCTTCTCCATCCTGTGTTAACAAAGGTCCATCTGGCCGGGGTGAAAATACCATCAGTATTGGCCTGCTGGGCTTCCCACCAGCATGTGCAGAAAAGCTGCAACCTGAACAAGACAGCTGGTAGCAGTTTGCAATATGGGCTGTTTAGTAAAATACTGGTGATCAGACTTGACTTTCCATCGGTTCTTTAGCAAACCATTTCATGCCAGCAGATGAAAGATGCAGAATCGGATTTGTTCACATGTTCACGATGGGTTGTGCAAGCAGAAGTTGAGATGACAGTCTTGGTGCTGGGGCGTGTGGTGGAGCATCCTCCCGCTCCTCTCAGCTCTCCAGCCCTGCCAGCTGTACTACCTTACAGGGAGGAGAGGGACTCTTGCAATTCAAGACCTTTTGGGAATAACTATGATGAGAAAACTGGACTCATTTATTTTTTCTATCTTCCCACAATGTCTGTCTTGGCAGTATTTTAATCCCTTCTTAATTTCTGAACTTCTGTTGGCATATGGAGAGCAGCAACAAAGCAAAGATGGTGTAGGCTTTGCGTGTGGCAGACCTGTCTGTAGGTTTGTCTGCAAGGCTGTTTGGGTTCACCGATGGCATTAGGCTCAGCACAGTGCCCTATGGCACAGCCTGCCACGGACATCAACACAGCTCTGCTGAAGCCAGCGTTTTTCACAGTGGAAACCTGGATCCCAAATCTGATAGATGTTTTAAACACATATATTAAGTCCAACCCCACTCAACAAGCTACCTGTTTCTACCCCAGCAAAACCAGTGGGTGCTTTTACTGGTGTGCTACCTCCACGTTTAACCGTGGAGGTTTATCTGGGATCCTGAGACATGTTTACATGGTTTTGGTTAGCTTGACACTAGGTGTGGCTGCATAAATGCTGCTCCTGTTCTGCTTCAGGCACAAAATTAAGGGACTCTGTCAGCATAACAGAACAGAATCAGAGGCTAATGACCCCTTGCTGCTATATTCAAGCTGAGGCAAAGCCATGATGTTTGGTTTTAAAGCGAAATACTACTTTTTTGAACAGTGTTTTATTAGGATGCCTTGTGCCACATAAAACAAATGGCTACTGTGAAAGCAAACTTTGTATCGAAAACCTCTGTGCCTTGTGGCTTTGCTTTTCTGAAGGAATTCTTTATATAAGAGGGTTTTTTATTATTATTGTTGTTTGCTCAGTTAGATATGAGTTTAGTCACAACACTTTATGGCCCTTTATATTAACTTTTGATCTTGGTGTCTGAGCTTTGATTTATTCACTAGAATAAGGGCTAGCTTGGCTTGTAATGCATTTCACTACAGGTGATGGCAGGTGAGCAGCTGGGCACTAAAAGGCCAGCACATGATAAAGAGACTTGAGAGCCAGCACTAACAACTGTACAGGAACAAAGTGCTTAGAGAAGAGATGAGGACTTGGTCATAGATTTTGCTGTGTAGGAGTTCAAAATAGAGGTGAAAATGTAAAAAGCAAGAGTTTGGATGCAAACTACAGGTCACAGTCCTGCACAGCCACAGAGAGGCACCAAGCTTTGTCCTTGTGGGCTCGCTGGAGCTGCTGGAACTAATTGATATAGGAAAAGCAAGTGAACTTTGAAGGCTTTCAGAACTTGAGGCAATGAATGCCCCCAAAATTCTTATCTCACAGATCACATTTCAATACATCATGAAGCTGTTCTCTCCAACTTTCATTCCAAGCCACCCTTTTGACTACAGCTACAGTGGGAAAGGGTAAGGAAACGATTTAACATACTGTATCAATGGGAAGAAGAGGAGCTGGTGCTTTGTTTCTTGACAGCTTCTCCTGGGTCAAGAGGAGATCATCACAGGCTCGTTGGCCAGGCTGGGGGAGTGGCAGGACCCTGGCTGATGCAGATAGCTCTTAACGTTTGGCTGGTGGGAATAGTAAAATAACATTTATGTATATTGTCTCAAGAATCACAGAGCTAAGCAAATGTGACAGCTTTCATTTGACATCCCCAGCCTTGCTGCTGTCGCTCTGGGTTTTTCTTTTTGCCACATAACATGAAATCACTGTCAGTTTGATAGTATATAGCAGTATTTCTGAAGCACAAAGGTTAGGGGGTTGGTGGGTGCGTCAGAATTATTTACGTTTGCTATGCATAAAGTGGCACTTGGGGAGCAAGGCAGGCTGCCAAGGAGGAGAGGAATCGGGGCTGTCTGGTTGCTCTCTTGTATGTCTCCATGCTGGATTGTCAAGAGTAGGATTTATAAAAATTGCTTGAAAACAGTATCATCTTTCCTCAAGTGGACGTGCCCCCATCTGTTGCAGTGAATGCCATTATTGCTATTCTCATGACAAAGCGTCTATCAATCTCCACTTTGTTTATAAACAGATCTGCCTGCCCTGCATAAGAAATGGATAGGCTAGAGAAAAACACCATTACCAAAGGAATAAGTTAATTATATTTCAGGATCTCAGCAGGGAATGCTATCTCAGAGTATTCAGTAAGATCTGACCAGTGGAGTTATAATTAAAAAATGTCCCCAGGGAGGAATGTGTAAATTATTTACTGTAAGGGGATTTTCCAGGCTCTTTTAGTTTAATTACACACTCTGAAAGAGAAAGGCTCAGAAACAAATTAACTAAGAGGTTGAAATGGCTTTGTTAAAATCATGTTCATGGCTAAGCAAGTGGAAGACTGGGAGTAAGGTTCAAATGTAGGACAAATATTTGGCAGTTGGCATTACTCATGGTTTAAAAATCATATGGAAAGCACCAAAATGTCCATGCACAGAAATTGCAATCACTAGTTTTGTCCAGTATTCCCACTAGCCTTGAAGACTGTACTAGTCCAGATCTGACGGTGGTTCATGTCCTCATGGCCATTTGCTTTGTGTGGGGAGTAAGTGGTTGTGTCCTTTCGAAAGGCATGGGTGGAACCTGAACTGCTTGGTCTCCCACATGAAACACAGGCTTAACCATTTGCTCCTGGGGCTGGTTCCTGGAGTTGGCCTTTGCTGGAAGACAGCAGGCTTGATCTTTGGTCAGAAGATGTGGAGAATGGAAGTCAAGAGGCTAGAGCTCTCTCCTCATCTCGACCACTGACACATTGCTTGGCTGAGGGAGGTGTTATCTGCTATCTGTTTGCTAAGGACTGAGGCAGGCAGTAATGCTACACTTGCCTGCCTGTTGGTGACAAATTCTATGTGTATAATGACCTTTCAGCTGTGGTTGCCCTTGCATTTCTTTCTTTCTGAAAAAAACCCTACATCTGCAGCCAGCCAGGCATGGCTGCTGGTGCCTATGTGCTTGTTAGCCCATACACATGCATACAGCAATTCTCTTTTCCTTGTGGCTCCTTTTTCTTTCAATTTATTGTACTTACATGCCTTGCTTAGATCGAAACTGTCCCAGAGTTAACAATCTCTCTACCCCCTGCATGTGTAGTCTTCAACACATGCCATTTGATTATAGCCTGAGGGTACAGTTATGAGTCCTAAACAATACGTTCTCCACCTTCAGGCAAACTAGCTGAAAATCTACAGATGAAAGCTGCTTTAGTCATTCATCAGGCAGATGAGATCTCTGCTTTTATTTTGTCATAGTGTAAATCTGCTGCTTAGTTTTCTAGTCTCTCTGAAAACTACTCAATCATAAAAATGCTTGTAGCAAATGCCAGCTTGTCTGTCACCAGAATAATACATTAAATGCCTTATCAGCTCCAAGAAAAGACTACAATACTTTTGAGATTATTTGGATATATAGTTAGGGAACAAAATATGTTGACAGCTTTAAAATTGCCATGATCAGTAGATTTTATTTTATATTTTGCTATAGTGTATCCAGTAGTACTTGTAAA